TGTCGATTCATAGCTGCCGTAACCGGGAAGTCCTGACGACGGAAGGCCGACCGCTGTCATCTGCATGGCAGGTGCCTGCATGGCAGTGGAGGATGCGTCGGGCTATATCGCAGTTAGCTAACAATTCATGATAATCAGATACCGTACTCCATGGCGCAGTTGCATAAGCTGCGGGCTAGTTGGCAAGAGCCACTAGCAGTTATGGGTTCGATCCTCCGCAGAGGACCGAAGGATGTGCACCACTGATGAGCCTCAATAGGGTGAAACGGCCGTCTGGTGCTTTTCCGGATAGCTGGTCGACATATCTGAATTGTCGGCTGATTGTGACGAACGAAAATAGATCGCATCGTGTCCAAGCCCATTGAAAGGTAAGAGGATATTACATCCTCAGAAGCTTGGCTACTTCCATGGATGATTTTTTCGGGTTATCAATCGTGAGGAGCGGAGGAAATGCTTGCCTAACCTTCCGGTTGTCATTGACGAGTTTTTACAGTAGACATGATTAGTTCTAAATTTTTTACTATTTTATGCTGTTGCGCCAGTTTGTATTCTAAGAGCCGTTCACCACTCTTGTTACGTTGGGCTACACAGGCATTGGAGAGAGCGTACCTTGTCTCGATGCTGCGTTGCGAACTACCATACTGTTCCGCGTACTTTTTCACCCAAAAGAAGCTGTTTTGAGTCCTTTGCAAACTCTTGTTTCTGATGCACCTTCCGTCTCGGACACACGACCAGAAGTCTCTCAAAACGGGTAGCAGAACACTACCTTAGCTCGCTACGAAGATGCACTGCTTTAAGCATCAACAATGCTATCATGGAGCATTTGTTCCTAAGCGCATACGAGTTTGGGATAGCGTAACGGTTTAAGCTCATTTACTCCGTACCACTACGTTCTCCTGAAACGATCACGTAGCGTCTCTTAAAGACGGCTGAAGCAATCGGCCTCAGAATAGTCCGGCTCGAATATTGCAAACAGTCAGCTCTTGCATAAGCTCTCCTCTTGCTTAGCTTCGCGGCAACTGGTTGGTTGGACACTGGCAGTGTTCCGTCAACAGAGAGGCCTGTCTTAAGTAAGTCAGACTAAGTATCTAAACAATTTACTGGCCTCGTTCAAACAACTGGGGCTTAGTTGTCTTTAACACAGGTTTCAGTAGCGTACTGTGTCTACTGATGTTTTCTTATAATTGCAAAGGCCTATTGAAAGGATGTCTTTTCGCTAACTGGACTTACATTGAGGTTGCTGACCAATTTCAGCTAGGCGTGTTCCTAAGGTATTTAGAAGGAAGGAGCAGTTTGTGGCACTGACAGATTGAGGTAATATCTCGTGACGTGTAATGGATACTCCGCATGATAGATGCAGCTGAAACATGACTACATAACCACTGAAGTCCAAAGGACAGCCTACAGCAAATACATCACCCATATGCATTTGATTGGTGAACACAAGATCCAGTAGTGACAGTCTCCGACCTGTGCTGAGCCTAGTGGTCAAAGTGACGTGGTTGCAAAGCGAAACACTGACACCGAAGTCTTGCAGATCAGCCTTCAATTGCTACCTGATCGCGCTAAGGGATTCCAAAGAAGGTACTTTGAAATCCTCCATGCTGAGGATGTGATTGCGTTGTTGTTAAGCGTAGCTTAAGCTACGCTTATGGCGGAAATAGGCGGCAGTTCATTTCTAATGTGTGATTTAGGGGCGGTGCACAAAGGCATCAAGCAGATGTCTCCGCCTCCTAAATCTAGGGGACACCACATAGAATTGCGAGTTAGCGTATGTGTATCCTACTTGGTTTCGCAGAGTAGGTTGCTCCGGTAATACGGATGCACCCATTCTCCCTATTTGAAGCTGTCATTTCCTTCAGCAGGCATGCCCGGCAGCGACGCTACGACGTCCGTTATCCAAGCGTGCTACAACTTCTTGGTAGCTCTGAGGATATCATCTGGCTTAAAAACTAGATTGTCTTTCAGGTCAGCAGTCTATCAAAGAGGGATTTGGTGATGGTGTACAAGCATACAAGCTCTCCGGTCTGCAAGAGCCACAGGGAACTAAAGCATTCAGGTGTGAGAGTATATTAACTGATGTACTATTAGTCATTACTCGTTTTTCTTGCTGTGAAACGCCTCGCCTATAGTTCGATTTGTCCGAGACGCTTTCCATTCCTAGTCTAGACGCGCTTCAGCGTTATCTAAATAACCGGTCAATCAAGTCATCGGTAGATTTGTTTGCTCAAGTGACTTGATGCTTATTCTTTACAAGGCACCTGGTAGGCTTTTCTGATGGTTCCAGCAGCGTTCTTACAGTTATGTTTCTAGTTGATTTGATTAAATATTAGATTTTAATACTCTTGAGGCGTGATTCGGGTAGCATTTTTAACAATAGCGTGTCATTTATTCAAGGAGTGTTTGACGAATAAACGGTACTAAATCGTGATTTTCATCTCCTTGAACATCATAGGATAGGAGTTGAGGTACGCCATACTTGCAAAGAGAAGTTTGTCAATCTTGCCTGAGGTGTTTGCTGAAACTGTTACTTTTCGGAGGACCTTCATTTCACCGAACACAGAAAGAAACTTTTCCGACAAGATCCATGCTGCAGCTAACTTGCCTAGTGAACATTTTCTAACTAATTTGTGGACTTCAAAGTCACTCTAATAACTCGGAGTTTGCCACTGTTCGTTTGGGGAGTGATTCGTACCTAGTTGTTGGATTTTTCTTTGAGTTTCACCAGAATACACATAGAGTTCTACTTGTCGTGGTCCTCAGTTAATGCACCTTTCACTGTGATGGCTGTTAACTTTATGGTGTAGCCTAGGTTATCTCTTCTATGCTTCTAAATGCTCATTAATAGAGTTTATAACGTGTGTTGGCAAGGTGTGATATCCTGATATCGATGCGTGTGCGATTGGGGCCCAGGGGTGTTTAGGTTCGACAGGTGACCGCGAAGCCATAGCTGGAAGTTGATATTTGACCATTCACTTCCTGACAACGTTAGAAGCTGTTGCACAGGACGTGACTTGGTCGATCGCGCCTTTCGTGATTCATCCGACTTTCAATAGCGCAGTAGCTCAATGTTGTATGATAGAATAGAAAGCATTAGTTTAACAAGGCCCACATACTGGCAAATACAAAAGAAAACCAAAATCAAAATATTTTGGCTCAACACGTGAAATATCAGTAGTCTCTAGACATTGCACTTTATCATCCTGTCGTGTGTCGTTTATCACCTAGATGAAGGTCTAATCGTCCTTCGAATATCGCGAGGTTTGATGCTTACACCACATGTGCTGGCATTGCATTCCAGTGTGTGAATGCTAAGAGCGTTAAAAAGCTTTCTACAATCCAAACTGTTACTAATTTTAGGTTGTGACCTCGGCATTGTCCATAAGCCGTGATTTACATGCGTGATCCCTTTCTGTTGCTACCCGCTACGTGAGAATGAGATCTCCTTGAGGCCGTCGGTACTCTGCGGCGCATTTCATAATTGAGACCGAATAGTCCACGTGTTGTCTTGGTGGCTCTTCTTTGGGGGTGCTTCCAGAGACGAATGTCTCGTGTTGACCATGGAAGTTTCCATTAAGACTTTTGAACCAAAAGAATTCCCGATCTTCTTCAACTTAATTTGGATAAATATGTGCATGACGGCAGTAGGAATCTTGCCAATCGTGATTTCGGAGAAATTTGTGTAGCTTATTTTGCTTAGAGAGTACTACGCCTTACGAGTGTATACTAGCTTCCAACGAGGCGATCTTGGCGTTGCTTCGCTCTTCCGCTTCTGCTTTCGACCGGTCGTACTTAGGCGATGTGAGGAGCATGCACTTGACGAATAGGATGGTCGAACACTGCGCAAAACCAGTGGGATTCGGGTGATCTGATCTGCCGTCTCTCACGTTACACTAGCTTTAACAGGAGCCTAGCGTGCGAATTCTGAGGCTAGATGGATGTATGCAGAAGATTGTATGGGTGCAATTAAATACTTCATTTATACTACGCACCAAAATGATACCGTTGATATATGTTGCTAGCTGAGGGGAAGAAGAGATAGAGAACGCGTCAATAGTGCGACGGATTTCAGATGATGCTAAACGTGAGAATCGGTGCTCGATTAGGACAAACGAACTCCATATGCAGTTTGGCATTCCACGGCGATCACGTAAGTGCGCAATACGATAGTGATTTTGATTAGAATTTCGCACCACGAACTCAGGCAAGCCGAGGAAATCTCCTAAAGACCAAACAGGTCGACACCTTTGGGATGGAAGTGTTCAGAAGCATGCAAGCAAGTGAACGCTAATTTGGCTGCTCGTTTACATGTTTCCCAAAAGTAAGCGCTCTTCATCTGGGGGCTCTTTGGCGCCGTGTTGGCTGGATTCCCTCTACCGAGCATAACGTCGGTAGCCGACCCAGCGATCACATTGCTTTGCCCTCGATTGTTTTTACCGGTGAGATGGGTGATGCAGCTTTACAGGTCACGTGAGCGCTTGCCGTGCGCGAGTAGCGTCATCTCTGCTGCTCTCTGGACGGTCAAGCCCTCAAGTCGGCACCCTACACTGCGCACGGGGTATTGGGTAGACAAAGCAGTAGCGACCGTGTCAATCGTTCAGAGGCCGCTGTGTGGAGTAGAGCAACGGCTGCGGCCGATGAATGAACGGCACAATATCCGATTTCTTCACCTAGCAATCTATGGATGTGGTTGTGAACCCACCGGATCCACTTCGGATTCGAGTTGCCTTCGAGCTCACAAATGGTCCCAGCAGTGAGTAAATTAGCTCATGCTCACTTCCAAGCATTTCGCAGCCCAGCTTGAGACTGCGCATCTCAACCCATTCGGACAACGCGTGCTTCAAAACGACCCCTCCAAATAAAATTACTTTCTTCCAAATACAACGTAAGCAGATATAATAGTAGCATCATATGTTCCAGTTATGGTACTTGACACTGACAAATGCAGAAGCCCAAAGCGACATGAGAGTCAGTCTCTACACCGTGTCGTTTTTCATCAGGTAAAAAATAGAATCCGATCTCCGACGGACTTCGAGTGGCTCAAGCAGACTCGCTTCTATTACTTCCAAGATGCCGATAAATGCGTCGTGTCCATAACGGATGTGCATTTTTGTTATCAAGACGAATTCCTCGGTTGCACAGAACGACTGGCAATCACGCCGTTGACCGACAGGTAAGTAAACTGTCACGGGTGCCGAAACTGTTGTTTTTTGCTCTCGTCGCTATACACCACGAATGATTTCAATCCTCGCATATATTTCGATGCCTGAGACATTTCGCTTGACTTGGGATCGATGATGTACTAAGTTTGATGGATTGCTCCAACGATTATCCGTTCTCTTTCTGCTTTCACATAACAGTTTCATCCAGCATAGTGCCCTCCATTTAGGTGTTACATAACTCTGGCCCAGGCATTGGGCATGTCCATGGGAGGATCTCCAGTTGGACCGGCGGGAACAGGAAAGACAGAGACCGTAAAAGATATGGGCAAGTGTTTGGGAAAGTATGTTATCGTGTCGAACTGCTCTGATCAAATGGACTTCCGAGGCCTGGGGCGTATATTCAAGGGGCTTGCGCAGTCCGGCTCATGGGGCTGCTTCGATGAGTTCAACCGCATTGACCTTCCAGTGCTTTCGGTTGCAGCGCAACAAATAGCCATTGTTTTGAACTGTAAGAAGGAGAAGAAGTCGCAGTTTATGTTCACTGACGGTGACACGGTTGACATGAATCCAGAATTCGGGATCTTTTTGACGATGGTAAGACTTCTTACTAAATTTTTACTAACTAATCGCGTATCAACCTGACCTTGCAGTGGTACAGAAAGCTAGCCTCGCTACCATGGACGCCCTTGTTGAGGACGATAGAGTTCTTCATCGATACGCTACGTTAGTGACTGCAAATTCTGGCACCGTCATTAAAGAAGTCTTTGCCTGTTTTGCGCCATTTGATACCGTCTTTATCATCTCTGCTTGGCATAAAATCCATCTTACTCCCCGTATTTCAGACATAAGCTCTGGTAATAACGCATAACTGGAACTGTGTCTTCTTTTCCATACATGCAACTCACGTATGATGGTCGATTACATTGTTGTGAGCCAGGTGAAACAAATACCTTAGGTGAGGTACCTGATGCAGAAAATTCTATCACTGATCGCTGCCAGACATGGAAATTCCTCGGACATTAACCGTCAGACCACTGTTTCTCAATCATTTCTTCGAGCATAGAGGCATTAGTAGTGTTAATTTTTAAATCACCCAATTTGACTCACAAAGCATCGAAAGCATGTGCCATTTATGCTTACACTGCGTTATCTCTACCAGAATCCAGGTTACACAGGGCGACAAGAGTTACCGGAAAACCTCAAGATAAACTTCCGGACTGTAGCTATGATGGTGCCTGATCGTCAGATCATCATTCGTGTAAAACTCGCCTCCTGTGGTTTCAACGACAACAGCATCCTGGCACAGAAATTTTACACTCTGTACAAATTGTGTGAAGAGCAACTAAGCAAACAAGTAGGTTGTATTTTGTTACTGCGATATTAACTCCTTGAGATTTGCGAATGAGAATAATGTCGCATGTTTTATTAGCTTGAGACTTCACAACGGGAAGCAAATGGCTCTTTTGTACGCCTGCTACCAAGCTATAGTGCATGTAAATGCCTACAGAGGGCATAAAGCACATTTCTTTAAATAATGCTCAATTACCATATGAATTTCGATTTCATCGAAAAAATTGAAAGTTTCAGCTGAAATCCTTAGAGATCGTTCATATTGCGTTATATTGCGTAAAATACAAGTTCCCGCGCGGCCGCACTTTAACTCGGCTCTCGCTTTGCCCTCTGTGGCCACTCTAATTCTCCCCACACAATATTGTGCGTGCGCTCGTTCGAACCAGTTCGACGAGCTCTACTCAGTGCTTCCCAACTTCTAGATCTAACCTGTGTGGATTGCACTCTTGCTCCAGTTCCCAGTTTTCGGCATATTCTTTGCCGAATTCCACTTGTGTAACTACATCAAACCGATTTTTCGGAAAAGATTTTGGTCTCATTCGGAAGAAGAAGCTGAGGGCTCCCAAACTACGTGGCAACCGTCCCTGCAAGTTACAGCATAACCAAGTTACAGCGTTTTTGCTCCGCTCATCAACTGAGCAGCTCTAGGGATGCTTATCAACGCTCCACCTGCATCTTCGCTTAAGGCAGGCCATTAACACACGCTGCCGCTTTGTGTGGGTGTGTGTGTTCAACT